CACACACACACACACACACACACACACACACACACACACACACACGTATACATGTATATAAACCAGACATGGGCAACTTAAATGATGGAAGGGGGCCACAATTTTTTGTCGAAATTAGCAGAGAGCCATATAGCTCTGCACATATATTTATGTGTGTGCATGTGTTTATTAAACCAGCACACAGTGCAGTAACTTAATATATATAATGCTCAAATGCATGTATAACAGCTGTACTCTTGTTTAATAAATATGAATACAATACAACAAAAAATAAACACTTACTTTAGCGAGCTGGAGTGCAATGTCATAAGGCTCCTGGGTGGTTGTGGTTCTGGTAAAAAGTAACTTGCGAGTATTTACGACTTCAGTAAACTTCTCATATTTAGCTTTGTGCAACGTGCGACCTATATTAAAATCCTTCATGGCAAACTAAATACATAGGTTTGCCTTATAATTCTTTGAACAGGTACTTCCCATTTTACATGAAACATTCAATTTTAGCTGTCCAATTTTCTTTCCTCCGTTCTTAGCCATGGCTAAACGTCTGGTAGAGAAGCTGTGTGCACTAGGTGGTGTCTGTGTTGGAGGCACCGTCTAACTTTGTTGTTGCAACCAATTCAGTGCAACTGAGACACTGCTATACATTTTTGTAATTAGTGCTGCTCTATTTTTTAAATTTTTTTTTAGAAAAACAATTAACTCCACTGGCGGCCCAGAAGGATGTAAAACCACCAGCTGAATGTGGCCAGCGGGCCACCAGTTGCCCATTCAGTACACCCACAATGGTATCACCAGAGTAAAGAATATCTACATTTGTTAGGCCAAATGTAGATTAGAAAATCAAAATTACACACCAGGTTGCTTTATGATTTCACATTGTAAACGTGGAGATAAAAGTAGGAAGTGTTCAAAATGACTCTTTGATATAAGCTCTGAGCTCAAACTCTTCAAGTGGTTTGAACTTTAAGCATATGTTGCTGCTTATGAACAGAATCTGCTAAAAAGTTCTCTGAAAGCCAAGAATTTTTCCCAGACTTAATAAGGTTATTGATACACGACTTCCTTGCAGCAGTTCCTCCGTATTAAACCCTTGAATCAAGCGCATACATACAGCCTGTGCTTGTGCTACAGCTGCTCATGTTTACCATCCTCCACCTCGGGCTCTTTCCACTGAGAGAAGGATCCTGGCTTGGGTGCAGCGCTGCAAATCCCACCTGGATGTGGCATTTGTAATAAACAGCCTCGAGGCGTAGCTGCCACACTTTGCTTTTTTACTCCCAGCGCTCCTCGAGCCCCTTCAGCGCCACCATATAGGTTCTCCAAACAGACTCTAATTTGTCTCTTGATTAGCGGCTTTTAAACTGTAGTTTGTTGTTTCCAAAGTCACCATATATGGTCCTTTTTTCCCTCCCGTCTACTTGTTTTACACACACATAAACTGACTTTTCATTGCTGTAAAAGTACATGAGGGAGGAATATAGTTATTCGGGGAATTATCTGCCTCACTGGTGCCATATCTCATCCCGCGCTTTAGTGCCAAATGGTCGTGTTTCCATAGAGCCTGCCTCTGTTTACTATGACGTGTGATGGCAGGGCCTTTTCTGCTACAGAGGGACTTACTGCACAGCAGTGGAGGGTATTTCAGTCCCCGTTTGGAGTTTTGGGGCTTACTTCTGCAGCGCTCTGTACTTCTCCCACCTGTTCTCCTCCCTGTTCCTTCGACCGGGCGCCTGCGTGGCTGTGCGCCGGTGCTCCCAGCCCTGTTCTTGGACAGGCAAAGCTAATTGAAATGGAAGGCTGCTCTCTGCTGATCAGGTCTGACAGCGGTGTCTTGCCAGGGGTTGGTGTGCCACCCCACGCTGAGAGTTTTCACAGGAAAATAACAGCACTGTTGTGAAAAGAGCGCGCGCGCACACACACACACACACACACACACACAACCAGCGCCACAACTAGCCAGGCAGCTCGCCAAAAGGAACCAGATGAATTTTGTGCACAGAAGAACGAGGGGAAACCCACTTTGTGTGCTTTGTAACTTCAGGGGAAAAGAGCTAAAAAAGCATTTAGTGGAACTTCAATAGACTTTCTTTTCTTCCAGTCAGGATTTGTATGAAACTAAATCACACAAGTAAACACATCAACACATGATTAAGTCAGATTAGGGGTGTTTGGTCTTTCATTTGTACTACGTTTTGACTATTATAAGATAATAAGTCTACTAATTTTGTGCAACACTTTAAGATAATTTCAAAATTCTCTACATAAAAAAAGTATATTCCCTGTGTGTTTGAAATTTTATTCCTAACTGTATTTAAATGCAGCATGTACTTGTGAAGCAGTAAAAGCATTTCTTTTATGGGCAAATTTTTCATTACTGGTCCTGATCCAGGATGGCAGCAGTTTTCTTTCCACAACCACCAGACTACTGGACAAGAACTGATTCACACACATAGAATATTTATTTATTAACTATTATTATTATCACATCCCTAGCATTCAGCCAGTTTAATGATTTGAAAGAAAAACTTTTTAATAATTGCTAGCTGAATATTTTGTTGTTATACTGTTGTGCTGCATTATTATTGCTGTTGTAACCTTAGTTTAGCTTTTTTTTTTGGTTTAAGCCTCTGCCTAAGTTTATCTTAATTATTTTAATTTATATTCAGTTGTATGTTTAGTTATGTTCTGTCTTTTGCCTGTAGCACCATGAGATACATGTTTCATCTCACTCTATATACTGTATGTATGTATATTGTGAAATAATAAATTTGATTTGGACTTGATCTATTATGACAAAAGTCATCATTTTCCGTGTGAATTGTCTCTCAAAACACAAATTGATCGCCTCAGCCCTGCGGATCATTTCCCCTTGCTTCTGATCCTTCTTGGCAGCTCCTTTTCCACTTTTGCGATGTGTCTTGGTCCGCTCGCAGGTCCATCTCGCCGCCCGTATCAGAGGTGCCACCGTTCAACGTGACTTGATGCACCAGGACAGGTTGGGAGCCCTCAGCAGGCCCACAAAGGACAGCTGTGATTACGGCTGACAATAATTTATGGTCCCCTCGGATTGAAAAGAGCCGGAGAAGGCAGGAAGGACTGGTGTGGAGTCAAGGCACCACCTTAAGATATAAAACTGAGGCCGCAGCTGCTGTCAGACGCAGGACTCCTGCCAAGCTCTGCAGGCCGTCTGCCCATCCAGACAAACACAGCTCGTGCTTTTTAATCCCTTTCGTCTATTTCCCTTTTGCCTTTTCTTTGCCCCCAGTCTCTTTATTGTCTCTCTTTAAAAATTGTTACACTTTGTTCTGTGATTTTTTTAAGTTTCTTTACAATATTACAAAAAATAATAATAATGATTTAAACACAAACTTTTAACCAAATGTTAAAGAATGCACAGATGCGGGATAAAACCCCATAAATGAAATGAAATGCAGCGGATTGCTGCGCACAATTATAGGGGCAGAATAAAAGAGGAAG